TAGAAAGAAGGAGAAATAGAAAGAAGAAGAAATAGAAAGAAGAGGAAATAGAAAGAAGAAGAAATAGAAAGAAGAGGAAATAGAAAGAAAAAAGAAATAGAAAGAAAAGGCGAATAGAAAGAAGAAGTGGAAAGAAGAAGAAATAGAAAGAAATAGAAAGAGGAAGAAGAAGAAGAATATAAATAATTTGAAACGCTTTTAATTAACATTATGATCGCTTTTAGATACAAATCGCTTCTGTTTATTTCTCTTAAAGGGACATGGTCCACCAGCATCCCTTTCGAGCTTTTGTTTATGTTTGAAAATAGAAATACATCGTAATATAAGCAAAAACTTACTCTTTATTATTCCTTTATCCTATATGAATGGAGATGCTTTAAGATTCGACCGTTAAACCGATGGATGGAAACGGATTGCAAATGGATATTCGAAGTCACCATCAAAAATCTAAAACACGACCGCATTGCATGCTAGTGGACCATGTCCCTTTAATCGCTTTAGTACTATATTGCAGTGTAACAGAGATTTTCCAACTTTGTCTCGGTATATATGGTACATATATATTTGCTCTTTTTTATAAATAACGGCGAACTGTGCCATCACACTACTCTTTCTCCTCTGACTTGAGGCTGCTTTACGGGAAGTGTGAAGTAAAATCTTATAATATATCTACAATTTACTGCCTGAAGCTATATCTTAGACCTAGATATCTTTAGTAGTTGGCTCACAGGATCCGGAACGTTGKSTTAAAAGACTCATCTTCAAGAACATAGTTAATAACGAATGAGGTTGTCTTCATGGACGCTGAAGTGTCCTCTAAAGTTTTTAAAACATCGTCAACTGGCATGCTGTAAAAAAAAAGAATACAGTTTTAGTATATGTTGATTATCAGTGTTATAGAGAGATATAACAATGATATGTTATATATATATATATATATGCGAACAACAGTCTTTAAATAGTAACTTTACMCTTACACAATCAAAGTCATCAGTGCCGGCTTCTTCTTTTTGCTTCTGGGAAGTTTCACACTCGTCACCAATCCCCGATACTTCACGTGCTTGAGAGCTTGTTGAAGAGTCTGCCTCGTCTTCATAGCCGTGGTTAACGTTGGTGGAGGAGAAAGTATTTTCGACGGAGATACCGCTTTCTTCAAGGTGATCGAACATTTCCCCATTTTGAGCCTGCYAGCGACAAATATGAAACTGGTCAGATACATTTTTGAGGGGTTTTTTTTATAATAATGTAAAATATTTGTATTATTTTCATTAAAACCAAGTACATTTCCTACATATTTTCCTGTTGTAAAACCCTTCTTTTCCTGTAGATTTTTCAGTAAAACCCTGTGTAAATTTAACAGTAATTTTGAAAAATTTGAATTTTGACAACTATACCTTCTCGTCATGAATGGCGGTTTCTTTTTGCTGTGCTTCATCACCAAGGCCTTCAAAAGCATCGTTCTTAACCCAGACTTTTTTAATTGGCGCTTCGGATTTGAACGTAGATTTGATGCGATTGCTTCTACTGCTCGTAAGTGAGCGTTTTCTAGATTCTTGCTGAACTTGCTGATGCTGAACGCGGTCTTGTGAATACTCGCAAAAATCATCAGATYCACATGGGCTCCGAATGAAGCACCTTGTCGCTGACCTCAGACGACTAGACCTCCAGAGATAGATCARTGGGTTGCAAGCACTGGACACGAACAAGAAAAAATTGGCAGTGAATCCAAACCACTTGGCTCCGCTCGTCCTGRCTATTTCACTACGGTCACCGACAAATGCTGCGTACAGTATGGCTGGCATGTAACAGGCTAGATAGGCGGCAATTGTTAGTACAATAGTTATGGCGGCACGGGCATCTCTTCTGGTAAGCTCCTTTCTTAGTTGAGTGCCTTGGGGGTCTTGACCGTTTTCTTCTCGTTGTTTAAATGTCTGTTGTGAGAGCAAAATTTATATATATCAAAGAACAGTATGTCATTCGTGCGGGATACCTGTGTATTTCAGTTTCGTGCTTCCTTTAGGAAATCTATGCCATATATGGAATCAAACATGGCCGATTGTTCAGAAGTGTTTTTGCTATAATATCTGCAAGTTTCAGACGATTTTATGCTTTAAATAGCCAAACATCAGTCCTAGCGTACTTCCATATAAGGTAAGACTACCAAATAAGGCTGCCAAACGAAGGACAACTTTTCTGAGCCAATTCTAGAGCGTAAATATATAACATGAAAATATCGCCCTGSTAATTTTAGGYTCGATTCCCGTTCCTRTGTCCTGGATTCCGGATCCTCTTTCTTTGGATTTGAACGGATTCTAGTCACTATGAATTTATCCCGGACTCCAATTTTTTTTTTTTAAATTCTGTATTCCAATCATCTAAAAATGTAAAACCAGAAAGCAATCAAGATGAAATCCACATGAGACCTAATGTGCAACGAAGAACACATACTAAACAACAAACTATGAATCGATACAAGCGTGCCCAGTGAATTAAAAATATAGTTAATATAAAAATATGATTAAAAATAGTCTCATGTGGATTCATCTTGATACTGACAAATTGTCTCTAAACACAGGCCGCCCAAGATAGCATCGTTTCGTTATTGACTACCAAGCGGCGTCAATCCCAAACCGGGGTCGGGGGAAATTAATTCCGGCTCAAATTTTTTTTTCTTTCACGGAAAAGGAAACATTAACCGCAAAGCAAGATATTGAAGCTAAAAAAAGGAAGAAAAAGAAATATTTTTTTCAACGTCCCCGAGCTGAGAATTGAACCCGCGATGCCAAGATTGACGCCGCTTGGCAGTCAACCAAAGGATGCCATCCTGGGTGGCCCGTGCTCTAAATAGCCGCTATATTTTTTTAGTATTTAGTTTGGTTCATGATTTCATGGTTTTCTTGCGTTTGCTCTTAATAGCTTCTGTGATCTTTGACAGTGAAAAGAAATACGACCACTTATAATCTAACTCAATCCAACCCGTTTGTTTATTTGAGAAATGATCATTGGTGATTAGCTTTTAAAACCACTTACATKTCACGACCCATTTTAGCTTAAGTCCAGCGGAGACGCTTAATTCTTCAACCTTTTGGAGATTAAAATTCTTTGTCTCTGATAACTGTTTTCAATCATTCCAATGAGATGCAAAATACACAAAAATCCGGCGGCCATGTTTGTGGAATGAGCAGTAGATACTAATGAGAAATCCTTTGTTGAAGTTCAACAAAGATGGCTTATTTGCTTTGATGGCTTATTTGATTTTCCTATTTACTCCGACGAAGGATTAAYGTCCAAAACGTCAGTAAGTTATTTCACCTACTTTTTTACAGATTGATCTTTTTACACAATAGCAAAGGAAGAATTATCACGCAAACATATTCAGACGTCTTGGTCTTCTGACATTTTTAAGAATTTCAATTCCTCGCTACGATTTTCGCTTGCCGAACATTTGCTCAACATTCCTTCAATATATATATGATTCAGTTATATTTTCTTGAACGGCAACTGTTGACGCTTCTTTCAACACTTCTATACAGTGGTACTAGTGTTTTTAACACAAAATCGAATTAAATGCTAAAAAAATGAGGGATAAAAGTGGAATTCAGTTGTCTTGGTTAGTAAACGCCTCGCAAGGTGACAAAAAGTCTTTCAAATACATCTTTTTTTGTTGAAATAAAGTACATTTAAATACTTGTAAAATTCATCGAGTTATTTTTGCCTTTTTTGATGGAGCATAGTTAATATTAACTCTGGATAGAGGACGTTTTTCTGAAGTAGGTGATAAATTCTGCAAAATACGTTGGGAATGATACAAAAAAAACTAACACCTCTGATTTGTACTTATATATTTTTTAGTTTGGTTCCACCGGAAGGCTTCCRGTGAGTCTTATCGGCAGACACTTCTCTACAGGAGTATTAATCTAACACCTGCTTCGCTCCTTGTTGAGTTAAGTAGTAGTTTCAGCAATGGGAAACCGTTTTTTGCCTGATATATATTAATACATAGAAAAACTATAACACCGGCTTACAAGCTCCCGTAACTAAAAATTGCTACAAATARTACATCACGGAATGGYGATTATTAGTCTGAAAAAGATTCACTGAAATTACTCGGTGCCGTTTATACAGGAGGCAAGTAGTTTTTTTAAGCTGTGTATTGAGTGAACAATTAACTTAACTTGCATTTCCATTTCGGAGAGTTTTGGGGTGCCGTATTGCTCATCGAGTCTTCCGACTAATAACAATCACCTGGCCTTTCTACTCACCACAGCCGTTGCGTGCAAGAAAATAAAATAGTCTCAAATTTCCTTCTTTAACACCAAATAAATGAGCTGTTTACAGTCACTTTTTGACTCTGACGGGTAAATTCATTTTGTCTCGGTGAAAAACGCTTTAAGCAGTTTAAGCGGCAATTTCTACGGTTATAGGTTCGTTACTTCCCTTGTCATTTAGCCACCACAATCGGCTAATTAGGTTTTTTATTTACTTAGTTTATTCGCTTAACGCGTGATTTCTAGACGATTTCAGATTTTTTTTCAAGACATTTCTACACCTATCTAATTTAGTAGAAATGTATCATATTTGACATTTGAATAGCATGTTTTCTATATTTTTTGCAAATATAATTATGGAAAATTAAATATTTGTTTGCTTTTTGTTACGTTTAACATTTTAATAATAAAATTTATAATTGATTAATTATTGATTAATAATTAAAATTGCATTGAATACAATTATGTTAGTTTTTGGGGACCTACAGCATTTGAACTGTGGAGAATAAGGATCCAGTACAGGGTCRGGCGAAACTCATTCAACGTCACACTGATCAAAATATGATGTATCGTTGTAAATTTTGGGATAAGAAAGGAGACTGAACGAGAGGACATTCAAAATTGATTCGTATAAAATTCAGAAAATCGAAAAGTCGAAATCGAAAAATCGAAATCTTCTAAAAAATGCGAGGACCTTCGTAGAGCAGGCTCKATATCACTGCGTCCGAATGCCCTTCGAATTCAATGATATAATTTCAAAATCGTGCACTCATCTCGTTCTGAAAATGACMGAGCGAGGAATTTAGCGAGGAGTTTCTACATCCAACGATTTTCACAAACTACATAAACACACCTGCGACGTACTGAACTGCTATCTATGGATAACGGCAAAGGTTCAATTGAATTAAATCCTGATTTATACTAATTTAGTTATATTTGAATATGTTCTCTTATCAATCAAATATTTAAACTAATCAACTTGCCGTTAACATCTTACCTCCAGTTCGTTCATGAAACTCCTTCGCGTTAACAAGCATATTACTGTGATGGCGAGTCCCGAGATGGAGAACACATAGAAAGAAGCAGTTTTCCCAACTCTTTGAAAATACACGATTCTGTACTCCTTGGTCGGTGCGTCTCCGAGGTCAATCTTACTCAAAGCCAGAAACCATGGGATGTTCRTGGAAATTCCGAGCACCCAGACTAGCACCATAAAGAWGGACATCTTTTCATATGACATCCAAACTTTGTACCGCATCCCCRAGGATATGGCAAAGTACCGATCTATCATCATGACCAGCATGCAGAATACCTTCATGTTGTTGAAGAAGGCTTGAGATATACCCATGAACAATGAAACAGCCTTTCCACGGACAACTTGATCCAACTCATAAACCCCCACTAGAGCGAATCCCGGTAGATTGGTAACAATATTCAAGACATCSACCACGGCCATGTTAGCGAGGGTGATGTTCGATATTGTTCGAAGAGCTGGGAAGCGTTTCAGTAGGATTACRATCASTGAGTTTCCAAATATCGAAAAAATGGCCAGCAAACCGATCAACATGATCTGGATGAATATGGTTGAAGATGAAGAACGGTGATCGATCATTCCGTTTGTTGTTTGGTTTCGAACGGTCTCATAAACTGATCCATTTGGGGTTTGGTTGATTAACGACGTCGCCGGGCTGTTGGCTGACATGATGTTGAATCAATGAACGACCAACTGATTTTGCTGTCTGCTAAAGATGTATGCAATAAGCACATCTCATTATTGTCTTTTCCATTTATTGAAAATAAAAGGCTATTCGGATATGAGGGGTTTCCAAAGAAAAGTTGATAAACAATAGAAGCGGATTCAGCACCTTTTAGAAGGAATAAAAACATAAAAAAGGCTCAAAAAGGTGATTTAATGTTGGGTATACTCTAAAAGCTGAATATTATATTCTATTCCTTGTATTCTATTGCTTCTCAGAAAAAAATAATGTTTCTTTTGCACTTCAAAATGTGGAATGCCATTACACATTAATTCAAACAAATGACTAGGTTTTGATACAGGGTTCGTACAGATTTTTACATATAATAAAATTCAAGGACTTATCCATTGGAACATATTTTTTTCAATCTCTATTTTCTTTGAACCTAAAAGATATTTTTCAGTAAACTATTGGGTATTTTTTAGAGTCATCACACTTGCACCGTGAAACAAAATCAAAGAAGTAGTAACTATTAGTTTTTATTTACTGACTATTTGTATCTAACAGTAGATATATCACTGAACCAAAACAATTCTTAAAAACAAAAGGTAATACACAAGAGACTTGGAAGCCAAACAACTTTATTAAAAGCTACCTAATGAAGAAGGAGGAATTTGTTAAAAAATGTCCCACCCACAAGGAAAGAAATAAAGAGCTAGTTTTGTTCTTTGTTAAACCCAGAGGAAAGATGTCGGGAAGGGCTAGAGCTTGTGTTAAATATAGTCTTCATCCTTCATGGAACTCGAGTTTATTGAAAGGCCATAAAAAGAATTGCCCTATATTGTTGATTATAGGGTGAAAGTGAAATAGATAGCTATAGTAACTAACTTTATAACTGTTACGAGTGCTGCTGGAAATAATGATTTGGTAACTTATGCCCCATGCTCAAAAGGTACGTATCTCACAAACACATTTCCGAAATGATTAATAAAATTTCTTGTGTTTTATTTTGAGCTTCAAGCAAAGGATAAG